TTCCTGATCGGGACCCGATCGAGTTTTTTGATCGGGACGCGATCGGATTTTTTGATCGGGACCCGATCGGGTTTTTTGATCGGGACCCGATCGAGTTCCTGATCGGAAACCGATCGAGTTCCTGATCAGGACCCGATCGGGTTTTTTAATCGGGACCTGATCGGGTTTTTTGATCAGGACCTGATCGGGACCCGATCACTCTTGCCTGATCAGTTCCTTATTAATTTGGATCTTTATCGGATGATTATGAGGTTTATTAATTATTATTATTTTTGTGAGGCAGCTAGAGGATTCACTACAGTAAAATTAGTACCTGGAAAAATAAATTTTAAAATACAACTTTATATAATTGTAGTTAGGTATGTTTTCTTTATGTTTCTTTTTTTTGATATTGTTTTTGTTAATATTTTTGTGATATTTCAAATATTATTTCGCATTATAATGTATTATCATCAAAAGAAGAAATTCAAGACTCAAGTTATTTAATAATGTAAGGTATTGAGATGGTACGTGCCAAAAACATCGCAACACAATGATAGAATAAAATCCAATAATCTGTATTTCGTTTAGCCCCGTTATGTATTACATACTATATATCAATATGCTATGTTAAATAAAAATATATAAACTTTATCGAAATTATTTGTATTACACATTTTCTGACGTAATCTTTAATAATTATAATAATGATATTATCATATTTAATAATTTAATAATTAATAAGCCTATACCTCATAATCACCTCATAAGAATTATTCGATCCACTCTTTAAAAAAGGCATAAAAGATCAATACTTGAATGTATCGGAAGTACATTAGTTTGAAAAATAAGCTATAAAAAATTAAGAGATTAAAGTTTTTTATTGATTGTTAAACAAATTTATATATACATTTATCTTATAACAATATTTAATATTCTGTGATAAATAGTAACATACATATATCTTAAGCAATAAAAATTTATGAAGAAATTACATGTAAAAATTGGTAAAACCATAAAAATTACAAACATTTTGTTTAATTATTTATTTTAAATATTGGCGCACTATTTTCCGATTTAAATGTGTTATTTACTTTTTACAATTACATTGACTATTATAAAATATTTTTACTGTTTTTACTTTCAAACAATGTCATGGTGAACTTCAAATAATTATATAATCACTGACCACCTGATGGAAATATTTTGCTGAAAGTACTATAAAATCAATGAAAAATAAAATAAGTTTTTGAAAAATTACTAAATATATTTCAAAATAAATAATAATTTTTCGTATGAAAATTTAATGTAATACTATGAAATATAAGGAAAATTAAAATATACTGCTGAAAAGTAATAAAAGAGAGTTTTGAAATATTAGACATTATGAAATTTACTGAATTAAACTGAAAACTGTTACTTTTTAATGAAAAATTGCTAAAATATTTATGAAATTAATTAATGGGGTCAATTGAGAGAAATTTCCAAATACACTTCAGCAAAATTTCGTTATATTTTTAGAAAAATATTTCCATCACGGCGAGCATTTCAAATATGATATGCATATCCAAAAATCTGGCAAGTGACTAACGCTACTAGCTAGATATTCATCGTAGCCAGGGACGGATGTACGATTTTGTGGTCCCTAAGCTATGATCTTAAGGAGGCCCCCATCTTATTAACAAAAAATACATTTTTAAAAATCTTTTCTATACTAGAAGAAGGCCCCTTTATAATGTGAGGCCCTAAGCTGTAGCTTATCTAACTTATGTGTAGATCCGGCAATAATCGTAGCTTAGAATAGTGAGCCGCTATCTCTTGTCTCAGTTTTGTGATACGATCTTCCTGATTGGAAGAAGAATACTGCAAGGCTAGATCGTGCAATTTCGAGATTGTTAGCGCACGGATTTCAAGAACCGACAATACAATGTTATAATTCTCGAGCACCTGCTTTACTTCAATTTCCGTCACCGAATCCATACCTAAAGTATTCAGGCATTCGTCGGGATTCACCACATCTCTAATGCCTAGTATAGCAATAACAGTTTCTACAAGTCCGACTTCCTTGTTGTTTGCAGATTTGCGTTTCTCGGCTATTATAACTGAAGATAACACGGGACAAGAAGGCTGAATCTGAAGAAAGTATTCCAAAGTTTTAAGGCAGCTCCACATGCGTTGCGGTACTGTACCAGCTATAATGGTATCGTTATTTCCTTTATTATCTAAAAAAATGAACATAGAATAATATCGTTAGAGCAGTAAATTATAATGTGTGGTAAGTGTAGCGTATAAATACAAAATAATAGTTAAAACTTAAAATGGTACTTTGATTTTCAAAATTGTCATCAAAAATTAATATCTACGAAAGAGACATAGCAAGGGCGCAAATTTAATTTTATTGAATAAACTAATATTTAATTTATTTTACATAATTGAATTATGTATTTATCACGCAATTTTGTAACTATTTATTATGATTTAAATTTTATGATCTCGTTACATAGATTATAAAAATATTAGCTGATGGTTATTCTACGAGAGATGTGCAGTACGAGATTTATCTTTTTACACAGAAAGAAATTAATGCAGAGTTAAATTCGATTACGCGTCCAGGCATAATCTGCAGTGCAACGAGAAGCTGTCGATGCTATTGTGATGAAGCTGTAGCAAATTTTTGTAAATTTAAACATAATTACCTATAATTAAGCCGACGTCTGCGACAGCACACCATTGAATAACGAGACCAGGTTTATTCAACGCACTTCTTTTCTCTATCAATCTCTCCATAGCAGCATTTGCAAAACCATAATTACATTGACCCGCATTACCCCGGCCGGCCGTCATGGATGAAAATGCGACGAAGTAATCCAATTGTGAGTAATAATGATCCGGCACCATATCTAAATTTCTCGTTATATCGATTTTCGGCGACATCACTGCTTTGAAGTCGCTCTCTTTTAAATTCATAACAGCCTTATCACGCAGAACGGCTGCCAGATTGAATATACCTCCTATTGGAGCTAGCTGCCAGCTTTCCTCGATCATGCTTGTGGCACCGGATGCTGTTGTAACATCCTTCGTGGAAATGACGATTTTAACGCCGTTTTCGATCCAGCGTTGCACGTACCATGTCTGATAAATGGTGCGTATGCCCGAACGAGACACAAGAACGATGTACTTTGCACCGCGGGTGATCAACCAGTCGGCTAATTCTAAACCGAACCCGCCGAGACCACCCACTAGTACGTACGATTTGTTCGGATCCATGTAAATGCGTCGCATGGCACGAGTTCTTTCGCGCGGTAGTAGCACATCCTCCCTCGTTGGCTCCTCGTTTTGGATTTTCAGTAGCACTTTTCCAAACAGATCGCTTTCATCTGTCTGGTAACTGAATGCCTTCTCGAGATCGTACTTTGAAAACACAACCCTCGGCAAAGGACACACGACGTTGTCATCGATTCCTTCCTGGACGAGCTTCACCACTTTTTCCTTTTCCGCGCAATTTTTGTGTAACAAATCTATACAGCGGTTTACAAAGTGAAAGGTTATATTTTTCATGGGCGCTGATAGAAATGCGTTGTCCTCGTTGTCCACTAAATCGAGAAAACGACCGCCGTTTGAGAGGCATCGTATGGTGGCTTGTAGCTTCTCTTTCGGCAGGGAGTTCAGCACCACGTCAACTCCGCGTCCCTGCGTCTCTGTAACGATCAATTGCTCGAAACTATTTTGAATATCGCCGATGAACTTGTCGGTCAAATTCGGAAAGACGTCTTTGATATATTGTCTTTGCGCTTGCGTGTGAACAGTGGTGAAAATTGTGCAACCGGCGTATAGAGCGATAATAATTGCGGCTTGGCTGATGTGGTCCACGCCATTGTGAATCAAGATACTTTCACCCGGTTTCAGCTCGCCCCGTACAAACAGTGCGTAATAGCTGGTCACATACGCGATCGGTATCGTCGCCGCTTCTTCCAGTGTCCACTTGTCGGGTACTTTCCATAGGAAACTCGAATCTGCCAGCACGGTGGTCGCCAGTGCCCCGGTTATTCCCATGTATCTGTCATGCTGAACCATGTCTCTTCCAGAAAACTCCAGCGTACGGTCGTCGCGCACAGCTGTTTCTACGACGTCTGCCAACAAGACATCTTGCGGTGACATCTTGCCATTTTCTAACGATACATCCCTGTCGTTTGTATGAAATTTGTTCGTCAATATCTTTTATTATTTTTTTTTCATCATCAGTTGAAACAAATAAGAATGAGGAAACTTACTTCTTATTAATCGCCGCGTAGTACACCATGCAGAGGAACTTGTTGTCCGAAAGTTGATCGGGTTTGTGATACTTTAATGGACTCTCAATCCATTCCAATTTGCGTAGATTATCTTTCACCACAGTGCCGACATAGGCGTGTTCCGCGACCGTCATGATGCGCACGGTATCTAATCGTAAGTGTCGATAGCTGCCCCAACTTTCATTTTTATACACATTGATTATCAATCCCTTGTCTAATTGTTCTTCGTAAAACATGTCAGATATATCGTAATGGAAATTACACTGATCGAAGACGTAGCGCGTTTTCACACTGTGATATTCTTTCCGTATGCATTTCGCTAATCCGATGAAACCTGCAACGACAAAATATTAATGTGTTTACAATTGATTGACATTAATGCGTTAGAACAATTGAGGAAATTATTTTTAACAGTATACGTATTGTTTTATTATTAATTGTAAATATTATTCTATATTTTTTATTTATTTTTGTACGAAGAATAATCTCATTTCCTCTTGCAACTTTTACTGTACACTGTTAAATATTACACAAAAACAAATTTTTTTATCTTTTTGCAACAATAACGTTAGGATTTCTGTAAGATCGGAAACACTCAAGACTGTTTGTTATAAGAGTAACAACTAAATCTTTGAAAATTCATTGAATTGTCTAATTATCTCTCGAAATAACATAGGATTGAACATTCAACTGTGTATATGTAACTTTAATTCTTATTATTTGATTTATTTCATGTTTTATTATTTAATTTTCATGATTTGATTCTATTATCATTTAATCTTACCACCTATTTCTTCGCCTTGGCATATAAGAAGTACCTCTTGATGTTTTTTACACATCTTCAATTTGAATTTCAACTCTTCCAACCAATATTTTATATCATTTGTGTCATATTGTGTTATATGTATAGTTAACGGTTCTTTCCTTTCCTCTCGTTTCTTCAATAATATATATGTCTTTTCTAAGGGATCGATATGTTTTGCGACTAATACTATATTTGCATAATGCGATATGTCTAGTAATTGTCGTTGCTTGGCAGTTTCTTCTAAAAGAATAAAACCCTCGGGGTTTAAAGCATTTATCAAGTTATTGAGAACGATGTGAGATTGGTTTGATAAAACATTCGCTGCTATAACGAGATGCGCATTTTTAGCGGGGGGTGTGTTGTTGGCATCGCGTACCACAATATCAATGTTCATCAGGCTGAGATTCGTCTTTGTGTAAGTGCCAGATGAAACAGCCACTTGCATATCGAACTGAAACAACAGAAGTTCTTGCAAATAATGCGAATAAATGTAATATTGTGATATTCTAGTATTATATGTAATTACTTTTTTTTAATATAAAATACAAGATGTTTTCAAAAGCTTGAGAAATGGTGAAGACTGAACATCCGGATTGAGACTTACCTTCCATCTTTTTCAACCTTCTGAAAACATTTTATATGAACCAAAAATTTGGAAACGAGATAAAGTATCATCATGAAACACATTTTTTATTTTTTTTATGTGTTTGGTGGAATTCTCATTTCTTTACTAATTCTTTAGCAATTCTTAATACTTTTTAGGTATTTCTAACACACTTCAAAAATTGATCATTGCTTAATTATTTTTTAATGCTGCTATTTAATTTATGATCCTACATTTGAATATAATTCTTTAGAAAACTTTTGTTTAATTCCTGAAATTAAGACAGTACTATTTATTAAAATCTAGCGGTTCACTTACGGTAATCAAGGGTTCATCACGAAGTATGTTGAATACAAGCGGTGCTAAAAGTGATTCTTCAGCTCGTTCACCTGCGACTTCTACAATTTTAATATTGAACGTTGTTACATTTTCGCATACGATTTGACACATTATGGTAAGTGTATCTTTGTATCTGTTCGCAACCTTATTTGTATCAAACTCATGTTCGTAGGGCACGAAAGCATATTGTTCATATTTAAGATTGGCTTGAGGCTTCTGCCACCAAGGTGTTGAAGTTTTCAATCCTTTAATCTCAATGCCGCCTGATTTGATTATGTGTTCGTTACGATATATCGGCAAAACCGGTATCAAGCAGTCGTTTCTTTTTCTTGGGAATTGTTTTGTAATTTTGAGTATTTGTTTGTGTTGGTCAGGATCAATTAAGATCTGCTGAATGTACGATATATACTGCGGTTTGCGGCTGCCACTTAACATGCTAAATTGAACTATATTATTAATGAACGGTATATAGTCATGAAACCAATAAAGTTTACCGATAATAGCGTGACTGTCGCAAGACTCTATGTTACGGAAATCACTGCTGTATTCATGTCCGCGTAAACTTAATTCCTTGTAAATATCCGCATGGCTTAACATGAAGCTGCTGTTATCGGCAAATGGATTTGGCAGACACGTTGGATCTTCATCTTTCATAGGATATGCGTATCGGTTTGCGTAGATGTATCCGTTAGCGATATATCTACGCATATCCAGGTTATCTTCCCAAATCTCGAAAGTATCCTTTGCAATGTTTATCGTCAATTTAATCGATTTCTTCTTTGACATAAAAATGACTTGTTGAAACCGTATGTGCTCAAAGGTCACAGGCAATTGGTAAAACTCTTTATTTTGTAGCGATGCAAAAATTTCCCAGACCAAAAAAAGACAAGTGGTTTGCGGATAAATAATTTCTCCGTTTATCCTGTGTCCCGTTGAATTGTAGTTCTTCTTCGACAAATCTATTTCGATGCACTTTTCCAACTTTTTCGATATCTGCTTATATATGGGCACATCCCACTTTATGTAATGATACCATCTGATCAGATGACCGACCATCGGTGTTCCGCGAGCGACGGGAAAGTTCACCGGGCTGTACAATTTCGAGATATTAGGTTGCGCACCGGCAATGTACAGCTTACCTATTTCGGACAGTAGAAAAGCAGAGTTGTCTGAGTGATTTCGCTTTTGTAGACTGATATTAGTTGCCGTTGGTGGCAGCGATTTGCAAAGGATTGCTCGTAACAAGCGATGCGGCGCAATCTCGATTGTTATTGCGTTATTTGGGATGTGCGCGATCGCCTCCTGAAAAAGCACAGGCGATAACATATTATTTACGTGATAATCTGATGAGTTTAATCGAGCGAGTGGACAGTCCCACGCGTCTTTGGGTATTGAACTAGAAATCCATTTGGACGATCTTTGGTTTGGTTTTGTTATAACCTTGTTGAACGAGGCGAGCAATTGAGATTTGATCGAGGCGATGTATTTGCTGTGAAAAGCGACGCCGGAACTGTTAATTATTTTGGCAAAAATGTTCTTGCTCTTCAATTCTTCTACGAATGTTTGTACAGACTCGACTCGGCCGGAAATCGTGATTAAATCTTTAGAATTGTGACAGGCTGGGGTGATGTCAGAAGGGCATGTCTCCTTAGCTTCCTCCCAACTCAAACCAACTACCGCCATAGCGCCTGGCTCCAATTTGGAATCTGCGATTGTCTTGCTTCTGTAGTACGCCGCTAAGACAGTTTGCTCCAGCGTGAATTCTTCATCATCGCAGTATGCACAACAGAGTTCTCCGAAAGAATGTCCGATCAGGCCGTTCGGCTGGATCCCTATTGACGTCAACACGTCAACGAGAGCAATTTGGATAGCTACAATCGACACGGAAGAATAAATTACGTTCTCGTACGTCTCTTTCGTGCCGTTTATAATGATATTCATGAGATCGATGCCGTGAGGCTTCAATGCATCCGCGCATCGTTTCATACTACATCGGAAGGTTTTCATTCTGAGCAATTCGCGACCCATGCCCGGCCATTGTGAACCCATGCCGGGAAATATAAACCAGATGGGACGTTTCATATTCTCCATTTCGAACAATTCACGGGTATTGTCGCAGCTCAGTATTTCGTAGCCGCGGACTGTGTGTCCCGGTATGTCATTGCTATACACAGCACGTAATAACGAGATAAACTCATTATCATTTTTATGCTGCTTTGCGTTGTCCAGTAACACATTCACAGCTTCCTCCGTACGACCCGACACGACGAGTAACGCGGGCAGTTCAAGAACATCTAGTACTGGCGACAACTTTGACTTCGGATTACTGCGAAGAATGACGTGTACGTTATTTCCGCCAAAGCCAAATGCATTTATACCGACTAAACCGCCGTTCCATTGCTTGTGCTTATCAACCACTTTCAAACGTCCTTCGCTCAACGCTGGAATTTTCGGGTTTGGGGTATTGAAGTGCAAGTTTGCGGGGATCACGCCTGTTTCCATCGCGATCAACACTTTAATAACTGAGCACAATCCGCTGGCGGCTTCCGCATGACCCATGTTGGATTTTACGGAGCCAATTAATAGTGGAGTCTTCCTGTTTTGGCAGAACATTTCGTCGATCGATTTGATTTCTTCTACATCGCCGACTTTAGTGCCGGTGCCATGGGCTTCTATATAAGCCACATCTGCAAAATCAATCCCCGCTTCACTGTATATCTCGTCTAACAATTTCTTCTGCATTACACCGTTGGGGGCCGCGATGTTCCCCAACTTGTAACCATCCGTATTCGTTTTCGTGTGAACTATTGTGGCATATACTCTGCGTGCGTCTTTCAATTTCTGCAAATATATCGCTACCACTGCTTCAGCTCTCACGTAACCATCAGCCGCGCTGTCGAACACTTTGCACTTACCATCTTTCGACAGTACATTTAAATATTTCAAATGAAGAGAGTACAGCGGTTGCAGTATGAGATTCAAACCAGCGACAATAGCGGCATCGCATTCTTCGGCGCGTATCGAAGCAACTGCCTGATGCAAAGCGAACAAGGACGAGGAACAAGCCGCGTCTAATGCATAACTGGGTCCGATAAAGCCAAATGCAAAGGAGATCCTGTTAGCCAACATTGATCTACAACATCCGAGCAATCCAAATCCTGCAAACGAAGCGATTTTATTTTAATATTACGAAATCTTTAGAATTATTTTGCTTCATAAAAGCATTATCATTAATAATGTAATATTTTTGTCTAAAACTTTGAAAGATTGATTAGATTTTTTAAACGTTTATAGTTTCAAAAGCAAGTTTTTAAGAGGTTTTTTCAAAATGCATAAACATAAAAAAGCTACAAGTATTTATAAACTAAGCATAGGCAAATTATATCTACATTGTATCTCGAAATTTTAAATGCACTTTTCTCCTAATTATATAATCTAATATAATAATTTTTTGATTCAGCTAACACAATTTCTAAAAAATAAAACTAAAAAATAAAAATTTTAATCGATCGGTTTCAAGCTTTTTCTATATATTAAATGTTAATTTATAACGCCATAGCAAAGTTAATGTTACATTTTGGCAGAAATCCCGAATTTTGTGTGTTTGTTAAAACAAAATACTTTTGTATTAAAGTTTCATGTTTTTTATGTAAAATATATTGAGAATGAAACAACTTAATTGATGATTTGGAGTCAATTTTCAAAATATACAAACCGTTTACACGATCAGGAGTTTCTGTCCAAAATTCGCACGCTTCTGAAGAGCTGACGCCAACAAAAACGCCGGTACGAGATCCTTTGATAGTAATGGGATTAATACCAGCGTCAACGATTGCTTCGAATGTGACTTCTAACAACATACGAAGTTGTGGATCTGTCACACGCGCTTGATAATCGAGTATCTCGAAAAAGGAAGCGTCGAAGCTCTCAATATCTTTAATTTTGCCGAATCGGTTTGACACATCGTTGTACATATCTGCTGACCAACGACGGTCGTCCTCAGAGACCATATCCATTCCTTTCATTAGGTTTTCTTTAAATTCTTCGATATTTGACGATTCAGGCAAACGACCTGGTAAAAATATCGATATTTCTATAATGATTTGATCTATTCGTAATATTTGCGCATATTTGTAATCAATAATTACCTGAAATGCCCGTAATAACAATATCGTCATCCTCATATTGAACAGACATTTTCTAAAATAATTAATTTAACTCCTTAATTTGTATTTGTATTGTATACTTGTATCTCTGGACTTCTGTTAAAAAAAAATTACAGTTTTTTCAAGAAGACATTTATGTAATTGGTTCTTTAATATTTAAATTAAAGAAAACAAGGAAAACATTTCTTCGATAAAATTATGTGGATATGTTGCAAAGATTATAAAATAGAATATAAAAATTTGTTTTAAATACTTGCAACTTTTAAAATATTTTGTAACCATGTATTTAGAATTTTTGAAAATATCTGCTATGTGTAAAAAAATGGGACCAATTTATAATATTTTATGACAGCAGTACAAGATGTTACAATAACAATCAAGTAAACATTCGAGAATTTATGCTCGAAAAGTTAGAAAAAAAAACTTTTATAGAAGCGTAGTTAATATACAAGTATAAGATAAAAATAAATAGAAAATTACTAAAAGGCTATTAAATAAATACAGAAAGTAAAATTATATACTACAGAAATTTAACTGTAATCGTTGCTAATTGATTTATTTTTTAATTTTGCATTTTCTAATCCGTTTTTATTAAGAACGTAAGATGATTTAATTAATTAATTAATTACATTTAATTGAATAATCTTGAGGATAGTTGTCTTTCTTGTAAGTAAATAAATATATCCTTGATTTTACATATAATATACAATATCATATTAATTATTTTATTTTAAATTTTCTTTCTTTTCTACTTTAGATGGTGATTTCTTATTCTGTTTTATGTCTATGCTCCTATAAAAATTTTTTCTCTTTAACTTTTCGAGTACAAATTCTTCTTGAATGTTTATTACTTTATTTTAAAATCTTGTACTGCTTACTTAAATATTATAATATTGCGTATATTCGTAATTAATAATTACCTAAAATGCCCGTAATAACAATATCGTTGTCCATATATTGAACAGACATTTTCTAGAATAATTAATTTAACTATGGGTCGGTCCAATTTTTCTACACATAGCAGATGTTTTTAAAAATTCTAAATACACGCCCACACAGCATACATATTCAAAAGACGTCCAGAAAATACCGTATCTTTTAAAGATTTCTTCGGGAGGATCGAGGATCCGAAAGATGTTTCCCGAACATTTTTCGGATATGCATGCTGTGTGGGCGGTTATAAAATATCTTAAAAGTTGCGAGCATTAAAATAAAATTACGATCAATTTGAATATATAATACATGTTAATATTTCCGAGAAATTCAATATTTGTAGAATATTCAAAAGTTAGAACAGTAAAATAGAAGCGAGATCATCTATTATTTAATATACAAAAGATTAATATTCGTGATTGAATCTATTGACTTGTTATTCGAAATTTATTACAAGTATTTATTACAAGTATTAACTAATCGTCTCTTTTATTATCGTAATCCACATTATTAATATAATTTTATTAGTCTTTTATTATTTTATTATCTATGTTTTTTTATTTAACTCACGGTATCTCTTTTATTGAAAAGACTCTTCAAAGCTTCCTCTTCAAAGTTTTGATCCTGGCTCTACGCTTTTTTGTGTTGATTTTAGTTGCGTGTCAGCGCTTTTCGTACTTATAAACCTCAGAACTTTTTCCAGGTGGGGGTATATCTTATTTATTCGTCTTATTTACAACTAAAGTAACCGTTGAAATTTCCCAGCGAGAAATAATTCATCGAATTGACGTCGAATCGACGTCAATATGATATAATATCAATGATTTTGATGTCGATTTGAGATGTCACTTTAACAATGATCAATCCATAGGTCAATAAAATTGCTGGGTTGTCAATAAAATTGCTGGGTTGTCAATAAAATTGCAAACATGAAAAATAAAATATCGTAATCTAGGAAGAAAATTTCTCTCATAATTTATTTAAAATTGTAAGTTGTACTCTTTTTGCTGTCAATTTCGCGATTTTTTATAGGCAAAATAATTGCAAACGATGAAAAATTATGAATGCGTGTCATTAATGAAATTAGCACCTGTAAATAGCAATTACTATTTAAAATCGCTTCTTTTGCTGATAATTTTTTTAGAGTGTAATATAAATATTGCTAAAAATAAAAGATTAGAATTATATTACATTATATTATATTATGAATTACGCGTGCGGCACAGTCCTACCAGAATTTATTGATGGTCAAAAAATTTTATTCAGGATTGTCGATAATATACCGTTTATCGGCAGCATTAGAAAATAGATGTAGATAGTACTAGTAAAGAACCGCAAAGGGCGATATTGAATAGATGCTCTATACGAAAACGCTAGGATGGCCGTCGTCGGGCTTCTTTGCAGTAACGAAATTAGCGGCGGCGGTTGTGACAAGATTACTACGTAATTTCCGAGAAGATGCGACAGCAGAATGCACCCGATCGTTCCGCGTGACCGATTGAAGTGACGGAAAGTGTTCGTCGTACGTCCGTCCGCGCGAGCGTCAGATATTATGCGGTTTCATTCAACACGCCCGTGTTGCGGCATGATCAAATGAGGGAGGCTGGCTTTCGTTTCTCGACATTCCGAATCTACAAATCGAAATGGTTTCCCTTACGCGAGGCTGTTTCGTTGCGCTTCTTTATGGTAAGCGGCTGTCCCGGCGCGTCAAAACATACTTGTCTCGTTTGCATATAAGAAAATATGTTAGTCGCCGTTTTCCGTGCTACATAATCCGACACGTTGGCCGATCGATAACACGACTTGCTTTGACATTTGTCTAATTTGATTGTCATCATTAGACCTCGATAAACACTTATAATTGCATTATCTTTTATAGAGAATTCGAAGTATTTGCATTTTTTTTATAAGGCAAATAATATAAATTTCTAATAAAATCCAACAAATTGGCAAAACTTTGTAAACATTTAATTCGATGACTTAGTTTTATTTGCGAAGTAAATTTTATTTATGTGACTCAATTTTATTTATAAAATCTTGTAAGCTATTGCGATAAATTTATGATAAAATTTCATAAATTTTTTATGAAGATAAAGAAATTTTGACATACATAATCTGATTTTTGCACGCCCTCAGCAATAAAAAAAATTATCACATCAGCACACACTTTTTATCATTTAACTACATTTTAGCTTTTTCAGCGATTTTGACGAATACCGCAGGCTCAAGGGTGCTCGAGCTAAGTGACAGGTGAGAAATGTTACTTGCTTGGCTTCTCAATAAGTCGGCTATGATTTAATACATGTTTTTCACAGATTTTTAGATATACACAAAGATGGACAATGGCTAGTAATGGTACGTTTGTATGTTTAATTTATGCAAAATATTATTTTGTACTTTTGGAAGGCTACATAATCTTTTGTTTTCTAGATGTATGCGCCATGGTGTGCACATTGCAAAAGATTGGAACCAGTTTGGTCTCATGTTGCTCAACATTTGCACGCAACACCGATAAGAGTTGGACGGGTGGACTGCACTAGGTTCAATAGTGTGGCCACTGCATTCAAAGTTAAAGGATTTCCCACTATTCTATTGTGAGTATTCTTATTTTCCTCGGCTGTTGTAACACTCGTATAACAATATTTTTAATGTACAGTTTAAAAGGTGATCAGGAATATGCGTACTACGGCGACAGAACTAGAGATGAAATAGTTAAATTCGCTTTAAGACTGAGCGGCCCTCCTGTGCAAGAAATAACGAAACCTCAGAGTTTCTTTACTATAAAGAAAGATCGTGATCTCTATTTCTTATATGTCGGCGATAGATCTGGAGTTTTATGGGTATACTTCTCATATATTTATATAAAATATTATCATGGTTGCTTGTAACGTGAAATTCACACGATATATCTACGAATTAATGTCCCACACAGGAACTTTATCACAGGGTTGCGAATATATTTCAAGCGCATGCATTTTTTTATCAATCTCATCCAACTATAGTAGATAAGCATGCACCCGTGGAAAATGTTCCAGCATTGTTCGTATACAAGGAGAGTTCGCATTATAATTTCACTGGTGAGTCGATTAAAGGAAAAAAAGAACAATTATTATTTTCTACATTGTGTTAATATTTAATTCTGATTTGTAGGACACAATTTAAGCGACATAGATAAAGTAAACGAGACACTTTACAAATGGGTGAACGCGGAACGTTTTCCGACGTTTCCAAAGGTGACCAGAGGAAACATTAATCAGTTATACTTAACAAATAAGAATCTCGTCTTGGCAGTGGTGGAGGAAAATCAGCTGGAGGAGGTCGCACCCGACATGCTGGAATTCAGGGACATGGTCGAATCTGTGATCAAGAGTAAACGAGAGAAATATCACGAGTACATTGTTATACTTCTCAGACAAAATTTTAATACAAGTTTTAAGCCTGCTTTGGATGATCTAATTTGCGACAAAATTCAGAATAGATTTTTATAACATGCATTTTGATTTTTAAACATTTCCCATATTACATGATGCATGAAATTGCAAATAAAATTTCATCTCAAATTCTGTCGCAAATTATAAACTGTCCAAAACGGGCTTTAAGCATAAATTAACATTATATCGTCGTATTCAGTCATTTTCAGTTCGGTTGGATAGCTAGTCCCGATCTAGTCAATAACATAGCGATGATGGTACTACCCTTACCGAGCTTAATTGTAATAAACACGACTACAAACCACCATCACATTCCCGACGATGAAACAGAGAAACTTACACCACACGTGATAGAATTGTTCCTAGAGCAGATTCGCAATGAAAGTGCTCCGGTAAAGTGTCTTTTGCATTTACCGATTCGGCCTGCTAAAAGAATACGTAATGAGTATTTATGAATTTTCAGCGATACGGCGGAAACAGTTGGTTAGTACGTATTTATAGATCTTGGTTTGAAATGAGAACCACTCTAGCTTCAATGTGGAGAGGTAATCCTATTTTAACGGGAGTAATGTTCGGAACACCAGTTGGATTTCTATTGTTAATATGTTATGGCAGTTTCTGCCCAGATATCTTGGACGCAAACGACGAAGAAGACGGTAATTCTTTTTTACTGTGAGAATCTATGATTTTTTATATATAAAAAATATACACGTGATTATTTTGTATTTTTTTCAGAGAACGCTTCGTCGAGCCATATGAAAAATGATTAAGAATAGTATATATTATATGGAATTTTTCGAGACACGTTTTTCATTATGTTTAGTGTATATAAACGCTTATGGTTGCGTCTTGTTCTTAACGAGAATTTGCCAAACCAGTCTTAAGATTGTGAGAACTTTTATACAGTAATGTGTATCGCTGACATTCCATAAATTTTTATTTTCCTGGTAAGTCCATTTTTGCATATATATGTACTTAATTCTTGTAATGTTTTTATGATTGTGTGTAAAAAAAAAAAAAGATGGATATTCCATGAGACAATACCTTCTGAATTAAGCGGATATGTACACACTCGGAAAAATTTGTCTTTTAATACAGCTTTAATGAAGAGAGAATGTAACATATATCAAAAATCTGTATATTAAATATGAATATTCACATAATTTGTCAAACTATATTGAATATCAAACTAAGCTCTGATTTCTTTTTATATATAATAAAGAAAAAGTAATGGTGATATTATTTAACATTATGTAAGTTGTGCGAAATTGTTGCTGTATTATGTAGATTGTGTGATTGTACATTTTTTTTTCATGGGAATGAGAAATAATCTCGTGCGCATTACTCATTTGTTGAGTATATATTTATATGTATCAAATAAAAAAGGTAAACATTTCTCTTGACAAAATATTATCACATAGATATATACAAGACTTAATTCTGAAATGAAAGATAATGTTGAGCAGTCCTATCTCAATCATTAAAATCTGCATAATTGATATTAGTAACTTTTATTTTGATATGGCATAAAAGTAAAGAAAATATGTTTAAGCATAAAAATATTGTGCAATATAATTTTCAAAATTTATTTGTAATTATAAACCAAGCGCGAACTTTCACTAACTTAAGAAATCTCAGATATAAAATTTGTATAATTGCTATAAATCCAGATCATCGTCTGAGTCCAGAGCTGCTCTTCTCCTATCAAACTAAAATATTAAATTTTTATTATGTCATCTTTATATTATTATTAGATTAGAATTATATCATTAGATGCATAAAATCATGTACTAACTTTGACAGTTGTTTTCTTTTGTGTCTGTTGATTTACATTTTCAAGTAAACTGATTAATTCCTTTTCTCCAAGCTTTCCAGGTAATTGTTGACGTTGTGCCATGCTGACGAGCATCTCTTCTATCATTTTTCCCTTCTCCGGCTTCCCAAGACGAAGTGTATTCACTATCAATAAAAATACAACATTATAAACTCTTAATAATGTATTTTAAGAATGATGTTGATTAAAAATTACATCTTGCTCTGGCTGATTGATCCAACACTTGAGTCAATATAGAATGCTTTATCTCTTCCATTTGTTGCATTCTCTCTTCCATCGACTGTTCATTGCTAACATTGTTACCCTAAAATAATAATATACATTTAACAATCTTAAATCTATGCATACAAATAAATACAAAACAATGTAAGTTAACCTCAATCTTATATATATATTTTGGTTCTACAAATAATGTTCTTAGTGTTAATGTTAAAGTAATTATGTATAAGATATGAATAATTTCGTGTGTAAGATAACTTTTTTCAGCTTATTGTTCTTATAAACTGGAATATTAAAATACTATAAAATCTTTGCAGGAATTACCTTATATTGCGCCTGCAACTGAGCCAGCCGTTGTTGTCGTATCGCTTCAAGTTCTGGATCTGACATATTTATACTTTTGCGTTTCTTTGGATTCTCAAGATTCTACAATCAAATCGCGATTAAGTATGTTATTTATACGTGGTACGTAGACTGATAAATTTACTACTCGTTAAGCTCGGTCAAATTCTATTTTCGTCGCACACTCGTGTCAGTCGTATACAGTAATGTATATACCTTGCATATGAAATTAGGTACTGTAATTCACAGTCTGTGAAGTGAGCCGGCTAGGAACTTTCAGTATTGTACTTTCAAGCTGGAAGCACTGAAATTTCTAGCCGGCAACAATACATAATTTCCTACTTAATTTTTTTATGAGAAAAAAATCAGTATTAATCACACGAGTGCTATTTTAAAGATTACGTTAAAAAGTTATTTTATTAATGCTTTAATTTCTTTATATTTAGGCCTGTTTTATTTGATTTATTCGATATACATCTCCATTATCCGGTATTTCTCATGTAACGTAAAATGATAATTATTTTGACGTTGTGATTGGATAACCAATGAAGAACATGGTGATCATTGGATGTTTCCGATCTCGCCGGTCGGCGAGAAATGTCAGACGACGTGGCCGCTGATAGAGTATGGTGGGCTGTGCAAATACATAAAGTGGCGATATCATCTTTGCATTTTCGATATGTCACGCAGTGAGATTCAATAAAGCGAATATTGCGTCGCGAAATTAGACTTTTCGATCGTGTATCAATCGTTCCGCATACGCACAACGTTCGCAACATGGGTCTGTGCAAGTGTCCGAAAAGAAGAGTAACAAATCAATTTTGTTTTGAGCATCGTGTCAACGTTTGCGAACACTGCATGGTGACGAGCCATCCTAAGGTAGTTTATCATTTTATGAAATATTTTTAACGAACATGTCGATATCCTTCACGAATGCTTTCATATAACGTATCGAAGGATTTGACATAACCATATCTGATACAATGCGATTGATTTATTCGTATTTTACAGTGCATAGTACAGTCATATTTGTTATGGCTCCACGACCATGATTACAATCCAGTCTGCACACTGTGCTCCGGCAAATTGAGCGATGGCGACTGCGTTAGATTGACTTGCTATCACATGTATCATTGGGTGTGCTTGGACCGATATGCCAGAGATTTACCGGCAACTACAGCACCGGCAGGATACACCTGTCCTGCTTGTAGAGCATGTATCTTTCCACAGCCCAAACTTGTGTCACCGGTTGCAGACGTTTTGCGGGAAAAATTGGCTGCGGTAAATTGGGCTCGGGCTGGTCTTGGCTTACCATTGGTATTTGTCTTACTACTACTGTTCTTCCGCAAGTGCTAGAAAAATATTTTATACTAAATGATATGCTCTTTCTTGCAGCTAAGCGATGACCGAGAACAGAAACCAGAACAGGAGCGTCCTTTAATAACAGCAGAAAACTCTCTATTCCAAAATCATACTGCAGCTGCGCCATCATCACCCACAGTGGCTATGTCTCGCACAAACAGCACTATCAACTCGAATTCCATTGTCAGCAATGTGCACACAACTAATCAGAAGCTTGGTCCACCTTACTCTATTGTGAATATAGACTCATCTCTGGGGATGTCGACTTCAGCATCTAGGAAAGTGTGTGAGGCTTACGATGATCCCAAGGACATTTCCTTTGATCATGACGAGAACAAATATCAGCGAAAGTCCGCCATAGAATGGTTTCTAAGATGGTGGAAGCTGATATTGAGAGCGCCAGTACGACGGAAAACCGCAGGATCCTTGTACAAGAGGTATGCAGTAATGACTGTTATTGGTATATTATTCTTTGTCGGGATTATTTTACTGTTCTCTTGGCTGGGTGGAATGGCGACGGACGGTGATCCGAGCTTCGACGTGATAGCGAATCCTCATGTGAAGATCGGCGAGAAGTTATAGTTTAAAAGAGCGTAATATGATATATTGTTTATTACGAGTGGCGACAATCGTTGACTGCTATGTGAAACAAAACAAAAAAACAATTTCCGAGAGTGCAAGAAGATACTATAAGAGACATGAATGCAATTGCAATATGTGAAAAAGCGTAACTTTGTGAAGCAGTGATTAGGACAGTCTAGTGTACGTAATATTTGTTAATTTTTATGTAAATTATATCATACATCGAAGTTGTATATTTGAATCTGTAAAGGCTTATTGATTTATAAACCGTGGAATCATTATGCCAAAAAGTTGTACCGAGAATCCATTTCCTTATCCATATGTTTATCATGAGATCAAAAATCTTAACTTTTATATATATATATATGTAATTTTAATAATAATGCAAACATGACTTTTTTTTGTAATTTGTTCTACCATATATTTGTTATTTTATCACATTTTTATTTTGTACTCCATAATTGTCTTTTTGTTTTTAGATTTGAATATTGTACTTATGATACGCTGCAATGCAGACCAACCAACTTTCTTTATCATTGTTATCCATCTTCATCCAGAAAAATTTTTCTCAGCTAGAAATCCAAGAATCCAAGGAAATTCGATATTTCTTCAAATAGAAGCTAGAAAAGTGTGTAGAATATATTCGGTACAGTTTTCTCCGATCCTCCTAAGTATTGAAATTCAAATGAAGTCAGTGGAATCCCTATAAAGAACTCCATGAAATATTAAAATGCTCGCACGACCGAGCGAAATAATCCATTCTACATGTCTTCACGGACGCTTACTCAAAACAAGTAACAACACAACATTTTATTCCTATGAATGTTGTTATTTTTTTATTCTATCAACGTTTTTTTTCATTATTATTAGCTTATAAGACATGTAAAACTTAATTCTGCATACATATTGTAATAATTATTTTTAATATTGCATAGTTTTGAGAATTAGAAAGTTGTTAATAAAAGGGTAATAGTTTTAAAAATTATTTTATAACATTAATTTTTCTTACATAATATGAAGATCGAATGTACATCGACTTTTGCTTATTCGAATAAGTTGACGCTGAATATTCTGTTACTTTCAAAAATTCCGAATAGCATTAATTCGACACTTAAAATTTTGCGTTTTATTGCAAACAGGACTGAACAGTTTTAGCATTTGTGACTAATATTTTGATAAAATTGATAAAATATATTTAATAGAATAATATGTGCAATAGAATATTTGTATAGAATTTGCAGAATAAGAAAAAAATAGTCTACTTGGCAAAAAAAAAAAATTCCACATAAAAATATGAGTAAATTAATATTATCAAATAAAAAATTGCTTCTCTCTATTTTTAAGTTTAATTTTACATTCTACGTTAATTGAACATTTTTTTTCTATTCAGTTTAGATACTATACAATATTAATAATTAGTTCAACATGCAAAATATGTGTTATGAGAGAACATCTGTAATTTTATCATTTTTTCAGGGCTCCTTATCATTCTTTTAGAGTTTTGATGGAAATATTTTTATGTGCTTTTTATGATTTTTGCATACAAATTATTATTATATATATAAAACTTGAAAATGATTGTAGGACAATGATACTTCTGTCGCCGTCAAATATCGTCTCAGTTATCAGTATCGTGCAGCTCTGGTTGTAAATATTCCTCCGTGTGGTTTATTTTGAAAAGCAGCGGCTCCGACAACGCTACGTGGATTGAGTGGGATTGGATCATGTATTTGTCCTTCTCGTTCCGTAGGAGCCGGTTGTAGCAGCCAAGCGATCACGTGGAATCTCTTTCATCGTCCACCAAGCGAAATGTAAGTATATACAAGAATCGAATGGTGTGTTGTGCGAAATTACGTGTGAATCTCATCCCGAAAAACCGAAATATTTGTATATTTTATTCAGTATTCATTAATTATGTATGTATGTACGTATGTATATATTTTTTATAGCATTAAGGTAACGATATTTATGAAAAGTAAACGATATAGAGTGTATATACGTCATTTAATTCAAACAAATATATGGAGCAAGCAATGCTCATGACATATCCATATTTTTATGTATTAAATATCATATAAATTATAGAGATTTATCGGATACAAATTCGAGGATGAACTCCGTGGAAAAAGTATACGGTTACAAGCTGGCAGCATGGTATAGAAGGCATTCACTGGCTTTGCATGTTGGAACGATGAGTTTTGGTCTTGGATACTTTATGACCGCCGGTGCGCCCAACAATCTTTGGTCGATTTCGTTGGGTAAGCGGATCCCGTTTATTCGCTTAGCTTGTCACCTCGTCAGCTGGTTTTACCGGATACAAACCGAACGCATGCTTTTAGTTTCTTTTAAATTCAGATAGATTTATTATTACTGTTATTACCGTAAAAAAAATATATATATAATATTTATATTTATATTTATATATATTTTTAAATAAATAAATATATATATATATATATTATTTTTTTTTACTATTAATATGAAAACTGTTTTACATCAATTCAACAGTTTTAAGAGTTTGAATTCATATATCCGTAATTTATAAGAAATTTTCTTTAGACACTTTGTATTTAATTATATGCCGATAATATTAGCAATCATTGAAAATTATTTTTTCTTAATTTTATATATAATTATATCAAATAAACGCATTGCTCAAAAGTTGTTATAGAAATGTTTTATCAAAATTTTAACTTTTTGCCATTTTGCATACATCTTCGTGTATTTCAAGTAAATTTTTAGTAAAAAAAATTTAGAAGTAGTATTCCAAAATACAAAATTTGATCTAATGTTTTGTTGATGTAACATTTTTATTATTCTTTCTCTTAGGTAGTGCTGTCTTAGGTTATTATGTAGGCTACAAACCTCGATCCAATTTTACAACGAAGGATCTTATCGTTATAAGTGGTTGCAATTGCGGTTTGGGCTACAGTTTAGCATTGCATTGTCGCGCCCAGGGTGCAACGGTTTTAGCCGGAGTACACAACTTATTGCAAAACCAAAATGCTGCTGTTGTTGAAGAATTTAAGAAGAAAGACATCTTGTTTTGCGACCTCGAAATCACAGACGAAGAATCCGTTTACGCATTCGCACAGACAGTTGAAGAGTTGATAAAAAAAAAACATTTAGGTAAGTAATACAAAAAACAAATAATCGAAACATTCGAAGCATGTATTCTATAGGGCGCATTAACACAGGAACATTCTAGCAATTATTATGACCACATGATATTTCTACTTATCATTTGTTTATAAAATATTACAATACATATCTCTATGGAATATTTCCGCAATTATATAATTTGTAAGATTGCAGCGTGGCTGCAATGTGGCCGAAATATTTTGTGCTGTACAAAGAGAGAGATGGAGGGAAAGAATTCATAATTCGTGAATATTGTACATGACCTTCCTATTTGCAGTGCTGCGCGCATTGGTGAATAACGCGGGGGTGATGGTTTTCGGTGAGTTCGAGTGGCAGACGTCGCAGCTCATGGAGTATCAAATAGATGTGAATGTGCTGGGAACAATGAGACTCACTCGGGCGATGATGCCGATGATACGGCAAAACGGCAGTAGGATTATCATAGTAAGCAGCCATTGCGCCCAAGAACCTTTGCCGGGTATAAGCGTTTACGGAGCGTCAAAAGCAGCCGAATATGCGTGGGCCACATCCCTTAGAGTAGAGCTTGGCAAGTACGGCGTCAAGGTCGTCTGCTTTATTCCCGGTCAGTGAAATTTACTTAAGATTAAATCTTATTTCATTAATATTAAGAAAGAAAAAAAACATAAAATCTCAGCGTTTGGACAAAGCAATATTTAAAACACATATAATTTAACTTAAAAATAATAAAGAGATAATATGATCTTTTTGATGTAAAATTAAAATCAAGTAAAGAAAGGACTATGTGTGTGTGAAAGAAAATATTTAACTGAAATATTAATTAAGAATAAATTTTTTCTCTGTCTCTCTGCGACAACAGGTGGTTTTGTATCAGAAAGCAACATCATGAAGCGACAAAAGAAACACTTTCAAGAGATGAAAACGTATATGTCGGAAGAAGCAAATCAATTTTACAGCAATTATTTTACTAAATACGCAGAGTACTTATCTCATGTTTCGCCAAATTCAAACGAGTTAAAAATCATTACGAATTCTAGAATCTACGAAACTTTTAACGACGCTCTTCTCGAAATCTATCCTTCAGAATTTTACAGGTAAATTATTAGTGATAGTCGAAGTAGATTTTTATTTAGACGTTTATAATCATAAAATTATTTATAATCATAAAATTATCGTGCTTGTGAAGATCAAAAAGCAAAATTGCTTGTAATTTATTGGTTGCTTTATGCGAAAGAGTTGTATGCAATCGGTGTCAGAAATGTTTGAGACCGTTTCGTTAATAATTTTTGTTCTGTATTTTTGTAAGATTTTTTGTTGCTGTAATAAAATTTAAAAATTCATGAATGAAATAATGTTAATGATAATGAAATTAACTCATTTGCACGATTATCACATTTGATTTTTATATACTATATAAGAGATAAATTTGCAAAGATTGCCTGTTAAATGAAAATTTAAATTATTGATTTTATATTATTAAAATATTTATTATTTTATTATTTTCAGATGTGAATCCTGGAGGTACTTCTTTTATCGTATATTATTTAAGATCACACCAATGCGGATGCGCGATTGGTTGGTGATGCGTTTTGTTAACATGCCGGCCTGGCAGCCAGCCAGCAAAACTGAAAAAGTGAATAAGTGAATTGTCATTATTATCATTTTACGAGATAAGTTTTTACTTAATTATTAATGTAATTGTTATTATCTCATTTAAATGAATATCATTTTAACTTGTATTTAATTCCATTTTGCTACTTAATTTTTTTCAAAAAATATATATACATATATATATTCACACATTTATTCACACATTAATTACACACACTTATTCACACATAAGAAATATATATTTCATTTAAAGAATTGAAGGAGATACGTTTGAGATATAATTGTAGCATATCTCTTTCCATTCCTCCCACTTAAGTAATTTTTCTTGGAAGAATATTTTGCAACGACATAAACTTTGATATGAAATCAATGCAGTAAAGAAAAAAATTATTAAGAGCCACAGGCGTAATTATAAATCTCTGATTTACTTTACTAAACTATTTACAGTAAATAGATCGACGCAGATTGTCCTTATCTTGCACCATTGTGTTCGAATATAATTTTGTTTGTCAAAGCCAGGTAGCTTTATCAAAATAACATCTTTGTTAGTTACTAAGAGATTGCTTCTACCACATCCGTTGACTATACGTTCAGAATTGTTGACTGATAATTTCTGTAAACTTGCAACATCATCGACGCAGGTGTTAACTCTTGAGTGTCCGGAAAGATTTTTATTTATTTGATCCTGAGTTTATCAGTCTTTAGGGAAGCCAGGTGTTCGTGATTAGATATTATCTGGTGAATAAATAGTCGCCTCTCGCCGGTCGAAAATCATTTCGGTCGCTGGAAGTACGCCATCATGAAAGTTCTAGTATCCGGTAAATCTTGTCGAATCTTATAATCTCTATTTTCTGTTTTACAAGTTTCCTAATTGTATGTCTAACCGTATTGTTCACGTCGTAGCTTGTATCATCGCCGCGTTTTGCGTCGTGGAGTCTTTACAGTCGACCCCGCACAATCCGTGTAAGGATGGGCCCGCGCCCAAGGACTTGAGAGTGGTCGGATGCGAGACAACTCCTTGCAACATAATCAGAGGGTCTACTATGAAAGCTGAATGGGATTTCACCGCCAGTAAGTAACACATGTGAAAAAAGTATTGAGTGTGTGCTCTTATTGTTTGAGCAACATGGAAAATTTATTGGATTCCTTTTAAAGATTATCAACAGTATTCTAATTAATTGTAGTACAATCGTGTCTGAATTTGAGTAACTTAATTGTTGCATTTATCTTCCAGCATTTGTATTATCTATTATTTGTATTATTTATTATTTAAAATTATAATAATTCGTTATTGTAATCAGCTTCTCAATAGAAAGATTATTTTCCTCTGCACGATAACAAGTATTTAAAAATTTAATCAATTGTTTGATGCAATACTGCTTGAACACAAAATTGATCTTAAAAATTAATTGTAAAAAATGCTGCATTAAATATTCTTTTATCTTTATGTTTGATTCGGGAATAGATTCCATCAATTTAGAGTTTAATTTAACTACAATATGAAATGACTTGTTTTTTTAATTAGATGTGAAAATATTTAATTAAAACACCGATAAATTGTATCTTAACTTATCTTGTTTTCAAATAATATGTCTTTTAAGGTCTGTTATGTTTTTATAAAACATCAGAGCAAAAGACAGTTAATTTATGATCATACACTTCGTTGCAGTCAATGATGCCAAAGCGCTAACACCCCGCGTGAGAGTTACGCTCGGAGGAGTTACGATTCCTTATCGGTATCCCGAGCAAGATGCGTGCAAGTCTTTGGTGAAGGGTGATTGCCCATTAGAAAAGGACGAACAGGCCACATACGGTTTAAACATGCCGATAGAAAAATCTTATCCGCCTGTAGCTCTGAAGATTGAATTTGCTCTGCTCGATGAGAACGAAAAGGTGCATGTTTGCTTCAGCATAAATGGCAAAGTGACTAGCTAATAAGCTCTCTCCTCAAGATTTCGATGATTGTAATACGCATATGTTGGCAAAACACTGATTATGAAAATTATAAGTTATTAACTTCTCTTGTAATATATCTTTAATGTTTCTTATATTTCATGAATATGTTACAAAACTTATATTTTATATCTAACCGATGAGAGATATGCGAGAAATTGAGATTGAATTGAGCGTTAAGATATAGCCGAATCGTATCTTGGTAGAATTAACACAAACAAAAATGAAGTTCACAAGTACTTCATCGAAATTGCTAGTAATAACTTTGTCTTAATATCATGACTTGTGATAAAAGAATGATAAAAGTGATTCGATCAAGCGGCTGTATCTTTGCGCTCCAATCTTTAATTTAACACCGTCATAGAGAATCGTCGGTAAAAGATATACTATTTGCGAAATAAATTGTTTTATTGAATTATCATGAATTGTTGTCGCCCTCCCTTCAAACAGAATGAGAATAATATTACAATGTGCAATTTAATAAATAAAAAATGTATTGCGATGAGATTGTTAAACAACTGTAATTGCCTTTTAATTTAAAATCAAGTTAACACATCAGGATGATTCCACTCTATGTAAGAAAAACATGTTGAGCTTTTTGTAGTGAATTTTATTATCGCATTCTCGATTATCGAGCGATATTATGAAAGATAATTAAAAACAGAAAGGTTTGCATTGAAAGAATCTTTGTGTAACATCTGGACGATATCTGGAAACACATTTTACACAACTCAATATCAGTCGTGTCGTGTTGTATTGCGATTGTAAGAAGTTTTGAAAAGCGCGCGTTAACGGTTGCTTGTTCTGGCACGCAGTGAGAAAGACAAAGAGGTAATTACGCAAAACCAGGGTGGAGAGGGAGACACATGTTGCGCTCATAGATATAATAATGTTACACACACACATAAAGTATTACGGCGCGCAAGATGGCGGATGCGAGGGAAAATTAGCGGCGCTCGTAATGTACGTACCGCAGTAAGTACGTCTCATTATAAAATTATCGTCGGGCGTAGTGAAAGGGGCTTTGACATCGCTCCCGCGAGACGACTGATCACTGTCGATCGTAGCCGATCACGCCGTCCGCTCGTGAAATGCCCGTAACTCGCCGGTCGGTTTAGCGCACGAAACGCGAGAAACACAGTGTGACGTCATCGTACGTATCGCGTTCTCTTTCTCTCTCTCTCTCGCGCCCCCACCTGTGGCGCCATCGAATCACGGTGCGTCGCTCCGTCTCTCTCGGTGACGGAGTTGTTCGCGTCGGAGCTCGCGCGGAGCGGCGTGTTTTTGGGTCCGCACGGCAATCGGAGTTGAGTTGCACGCGATCGGTCCGCGCGTGTGCCACGGTGAACGGTGGAATATTACAACGGGATTGTGTTTTCAGTGTGCGGTTGAGACAGACCGAATACCAGCGCGAGTGTGAGTGTGTGAACGCGCGGCGCGTCGCGCGTAGCAGGTAGCCGTAGGACACGTCGGGGTTCAGCCAGCACCGAGCTCCCGCCCCACCGGCTTGTTGTCAAGATGGCGTCCAAGGGGAAGCTAGACATCGAGGTCAGTACTCTTTATCGCATTCCTTTTTCCTCCTTGGTTCTCCCTCCCTCATTGAGAACGCCGACCGCGCCTGGACGCGCGCACGAGCATCCGAAATACCGCACGCGCGCGCGCGGGCGCGTCGACGAGTATATCGGGATATCAGCGACGCCCTGAACGTAGCCACGCATCGTGAATTTGGCGCGTTTCATCACCGTTGACTTTTTTTAATACAATCCTGGCCGCCGACACACTTTGTCGAATCGACGACTGGTCGATTGACGAAGACGGCGATGGCGATGGCAGTCCACGCGATTCGCGCCGTACCGCGTCGCCGTCGTCATCCACGCAGGAACGTCGCGTTGTTCGGCGTAACCACGCCCTGCGCTCTCGGTAAATCCGTTCGCTTTACTGACTACATGAATAATCCGCGTCTCGCGTTAAACCTCTCCGGTCTCTTATCTGCTTCCATGTCAAAATAAATGAAAGATACCTTCAATGTTTAAAAATACGCGATGACAGTCAAGTTCAATACTTGACGATTAGTCGCGATAAGTCAATCGAAAAGAGAATGTTTCTGCAGTGATTAACGTTAAATTACGCATGTCAGATTACGTGGACTTGACGATTCAGCAAATTATTCGTGCCGATTGTCGTTCAGTCTTTCTCCTCCATGTATGCGTCATCAAATTACAAATTACGCAATCTATAATATTCGAAGCGATATGGATGTCGGGAATGTGAATTGAAGAAATATGTATCTTTCTCCCTCCTTTGGGAAATAATTCTCGATTTCTTTCTGTTCGCTTTAAGCGATGTGTACCTTGGGAAATGTAAATATAACGGTGCAGGTGTCACTGAACGGCGATGACTCATGACAGTTACAGCCATTATCGCGCTGGGAAATTATGGCGGATTGTGAGCCGCTCCTAGCGAGCAATCGTTAAAAAATATTCGCATTACGTTCGACGAAAATAACACAAAAATTCCAACACGTGTTTCGTGATATCAACATAACGATGGCATACATTTGATAAACGCTCGCATTCACGGATAATCAAATTACGAAGTAACAATAAAACACGAATTTCTCGAATACTTTTTCAGAGATGCGATCACCTTTGAATTCTAAAATTACCTTTACCGATTTACACGCTAATCATGTATATTATCGTTCACCGGAAAGAACACCGCGCTTCTTCAAATAGATTGACCGCTCGATTAACGCGATGAACGCTCAAATGATAAAAGGCCAAGAATATTTCCTCGGGGAATATTTATACGTGGCGATGAAAATATCCCTTTCTTTCTCTCTCCCTCTCGGCAGCGATATCTGTTTGTCGGACGAGCATCGTCCATTATCCGTTCGTCTATTATCGAGAACGACTGAGCGACCTTGTTGCCGAAACGATGTTTGTCACACACCGAGACTTTTCGCAAGTCTTTACTCGCTATTTACTCGGACGCGAAAATTATGCAAAGCCGTGGCGGCCAGCTAATCACTTTCGACACGTCATCTGGTCGATGCGTGTTCGGTTTTACGTTGAGGAGTAACCATTTTCATTAGAGTGACGTGAAGAAGCGATAAGATCGGAACTGAACCCGAGCTGGCACGCCAGTAACGCACGAACGAAGGAGAAAGCGAGCGATAGATTCCTCTCGTATCTCTCTTCTAACGAGAAAATACGTTGAATATGCAGCGCAACGCATGTCGCGCTTCGAAGGGGAAATTAGTATGCGAGTCTTCCAAGAAGTTTACCTCGCCGATCGAATAGTCGAGAATGTTCCGATATGCGCGTAGTATTGTGCAATCGCGAAGGGTTTAGCGCGCGATCAATTTAATTCACTTTCTTAGAATTGAAGAAAATTATTCTACACATTTACATTCACTTCTCTTGATTTTGAATGCATTTTTTATGAAAAAAAACCAGTAGTTTTAAAAGAAATTGTTTATATCTTTTAAACAACATTAATTACTCGCTGACTAATTCTCTTACAAGAACAATTGAGGCTGGTATTTAGAAGGAATCAATCAAGATTCTACGATCAATCAATGTCTAAGCTTAAAGTCTAAAGTGAGCTTAACTGATATTGATTCTATATATATAACATCACACTTGTTTTGCAAAATTTAATATAAATTAATTTTCTTTATTCGCGTTTATTTATAACATTACAATGGAGAATAGATTTTTCTCTATATATACATGTATATATACAATACATTGCCTTGCGCATATTTTAGATAAAAGTCGAATACCTAAATATGTCGTGTCATATACATATATTTACTAACATAAGTGCAAAATTTGCACGTCTTGTGTCAAATAACTCGTTAGCATAACCGCATACAGATTTTGCGCAACAGCATGCACGTAATATAGAATAGATATATTGCATATTATCGCGGTTACATTCCTTGAATATTCGATCTTCACAGGAAATCGTAAGTTCGCTCGACGAGCGCGAAGTCGATACGAGGACGATAGGACAATGTATGTATATTTGCGGTATTTGCGCTATTGTGTATGCAACTCGCGCATATCTCCGCCTCGCGACACGAAACGCGCGCGGATGTGCGCTTTTCAACGCGTATACATATAATTCCGGATCGATGAACTTCCGTTCGAACGCCCATAACGTCTCCCCATTTATTATCTCCATTTTCCAGCTGCCATGGTAATTTCTCCGGCATATCCGCGCTGGAACGGATGTAAATCTCAATTTTAAATTCTAGCTTTAATGCCTCGAGCTTCGGAAAGCGCGAGAAAGCGAGTGGAATAATATATATATATACTGTGCTCGAGAAATCGCCAACTTGCGATCATCGATTCTTCGACGAACTTCCAACTCGATCTCTTGCGCGAAAGTTCGCGGATCCGTCTTCGCGGTTTTATGCAGTTTTCAGCACTGTGTAACTGTCTCGGTAACGAAGTCTGAAATTAAAATTTATTTGAAGTCTTAAAATGAGATGTACTTAAAATTAATCAAAGTGCAAAGTTCCGTTATCTGTTTTTGAACTGTGTTACCGCACTTCCTAATTCGCCGGAATCTTCCAACTTTCAGTCATTTGCAATTTAAAAATCAATGACGCTCGGATAATGCGGCGAACAGCGTCCGTCTCGATTTCCACGATATCTGTAGGAAAACGACTTCTAGGACACCCGATACGTCGACACATACGAGGACCTGCCTATCGATACGTCACGATTTCGTTGCTCGGAATCGCACGGAGATGCGATTATAGGTTCGTGGATGCGACGTGAGAGGCGAGGCAATTCCGAATCGGTGGCGAGGGCGTTAAAAAAATAATCTGCCGATAAACTCGAAATAGAGCTCCATCCCGTAAATTCTCTCAGTTTGCAGATTCGTGTCAAGGTCACGGCTGGCCGTGAACAGGAGAGAGAGAGAGAGAAGGGAAAAAGAGGGGGGACGGGGAGAGAAATCCACGGGAGTAAATGCAGTCGCTTGTAGATGACCATATCGCAAATTCGCTTTTCCCTTTTTTCCCCTTCCTCTCTCACCTTTTTCCGCACCGCCTGCGATGATGGCTTTCCCGACACGGGTATCACCGCGTATACATATTATCGAACACATAATGTGTCTGCAAGCGAACGATTTACGAGATAAACATTGCAACGTCGGCGGCTTTAAGTAACTCGATATATATTATTGCACAGTAATTCGATATTGTTTGCGCTACCTTTTTCGCGTTTTTCTTTTAAACAATCGTAAACATGTTTTAATAATGCAGCAATTGGGATTTCTCTCGCGATAATTGGTATGGAAAATTGTAACGTTAACTTTTGAACGATTTTTAATGCGTTGTTCGGTCTTTATCGTAAAATAAGTGTTAACCCACTTTTTTGAAACATTATTATTTTCCTCATAATCGCGATATCAATAGAACTTAATAGAATTTTAATTTGAATTAAACATTCAGAGATTAGAAGAACGACGCCGCCCAGTAAAGTTTTCATTGGCAAAGTAATAAAGTTTTTTGGTAACAAATCTCTCTCTTGCGCCTTCTAGAGTGTTTTATCTCTCTAAATATTTTATCCCTCTCTTTCTCTCTCTTTCTCAATGCATAAAGTCGTCATGCTAATATTTTATCTTCGCCCTATCGTGTTCTCGTTTTAAAGCGAAAAGTCAAGTAACATCTAATATCCAAACTTGGTGTATTTCGAATGTTCACGAATGCACATATGCTAATTTCCCTGAGGGCCGCCGTCTCGAGGAGTACAGTGGTGAAATCATCGGACGCACCCTCTTTGACGATCGATCGCCGAGCTAATCGTGCTCAGGTCGAGTCGTTTCACGCGTCTACAGGAAGATGTCGACACACGTCGCACAAACCACGATGGGCATTTTGCACGTTGATTTAGATCTCGATTTGATTTAGCGTCGACTTGTGCGAGTTTTTAGTAAAAATATGTTAGAACACAGATGTCAAATATAATAAGATAATTCTTCAAAGGGAACAAGAATTTTTATATACTTAGGCACACATACGTAAATATTTGCATGAAAGATTTGAGCGACAGCGGAATGTGGATTCAGAAAGGTAGATAAAAGATCTCATTAGAAGGATCACTTATTAGAGAGAGAGAGAGAAGGAGGATATCTTACACAGAGCATCTCCGCAACTCATGATTTTTAATTTTAACGACAATTTCTCTGATCAATTTGGAGTTAATGTTTCCTTTGTTAGTGCAACTTTATACTTCTCAACATCATGTAGCCAACTTCTAAATTAAATTTCTTCAAAAGGTTTCGCTTGCAATTAATTGAAGAATATGCTTCTATTGTCTACTTTGATCTCTTGAAACTTGGCTCGCGGAAAATCTTTTTTCCAATCAGTTTGTGAATCGAATAATTTCGTGGAGAGAAAAAAATGGATTCGAAATTGGTTGGAGAATTCGTCAATTAAAATTACATACTCGAATTACACCCTGTACCGTACCCACTTTATAATCCTTACAGCATATAGATTACAGCGTATAGATTGCGATTGGAATTTT